CTATTTGGCCCTTTCTGTGACTTGTCAGAGCCACTTGCCAGAGGGTTGCAAGAGCTGAGTGGCACTGGAAACTTTCCAGGAGCAGCTGCTGGAGGTAGCAGGAGAAGTGGCTAATGAGGATGTTCAGTGCCCATCCCTGCATTACAATATAGTGTTATCCGTGTGGTACGCAGAGGGTGAAACACGATCTTCCTCACTTATTAAAGGCACCCTGCAGAGGGTGTATTCCTGGCACTTACAAATGATCCACGGCACCTGGAAACAAATTTCTTCTCATCTGCTCTGTTCTGGGACAGCTACACATTCACTTTCTGTACACAAGGCTGTCTCTCATGCTTCCCACATGCATCCTGTTTTCACTCCTTTTCTACTTGCGCACACCATGCACAAGACAAGATTAGTAGCTGAACCGTCCATATCACCTAATGGTAATTAATTGTTCCTACTAATTGTTCTCCATTTGCATCACACAGGAAAATGAGTGTAGAGTAGTGTGACCTCGTGGTTTATCCAAGACATACAGCTTACTGACATGCAAATGCCAGTTCTTCAACTTTTTGAGTTGTTTTGCAGTGGTAGTTTTCTGCAGTAACTCATTTCCTGTGAGCTACTGTTCAGAGGAAAGCAGCAAAGCAAAACAGCAGTTTGGACCACAAGATGACTCATCCTGATCTCAAACGCCTTTGCTGATCTTTGGTCAGTGCTGACAGACTAAAATAATCAGGATGGGCGGAAGCAAGTCCAAAGAACTGAAAAAGTCCCAAACGCTTTAGGGGATGGAAGACCGAACACCTATGATGCAAAGCCAACCCATCACACAGACAAAGATATTTCCTTTAATGAAAATACAAATACAGAGATCATTGAAGAAACTGGTTTTGGTCAAGGACAATAAATGTTTTTAAAGCGTGATTACAAGAAAACAAAATTAAATTAAATGCTTAACATTAGACTGTACAACACACACCTCATCTCTAGAAAGACAGACTTTCCCTTTCTAAAATTAAGAAAATTATGGTCTGCGTCTCCAGTGGGGAAAAAGGCACCACAACTGGGTCTCACTGGCAAAATTGAGTGGGGGAAAAAAGCAAGCACATTTGTCCTTTGCAACAAACAGCAATAGGTAAAGTTGACTCTGGATCTCTTTTAATGAAGCTACAAAGGCAATCTGGCAAATAGCCCATACATTACTTATGGACACACCAAGGTTTAGAAGAATTCAGCAGTTCTGCTTTTCTAAACGAAGCAACCACCCCCAAGTTTGTCCCACGATCCCACTGTAAAGTATTCCATATATCATTATATGCATACATACATCATTACCTCCTTCACTGATTAGTGAAGATCAGCTCTTAAGACTGCAGGCCCGGGGTCCTTCACAAGCTACCTCCTTCCTGGCATTTCAAGAACTGAGGACACCAGTGCCAGTTCTGCAGGCCAAACCCCTCCCTGAACCGCAACTGTCGGGGCGGGGAACGGGACTGCTGTGTGAGAAGCAGAAAGCACCATCACCACGCAGTAGTCTTGATGATCATGATGTCCAGGGAATAACAAAAATGCAAAGCTTGACTCAGGCTTGCACTGAAGATGCAACTACTGCAGTTGTTAGAGATCATGAGGAAAAAGAAGAAAGGGGGACTTCTCTGGCTGGAAAATGTCATCTGTTTGGCAAAGCTTTCTATGAGAAGCCTACCCAGTGAAGCACAGTATTCTTCTTTTTGTAAGAAGAACCAGTTCCAAGCCCTGCCTAGCTCTGTTTCTAGGAATGCTATTAGATGAGCCGAGCGCGCGGCACTAGCTGCAAGAGCTGATGCTGGTAAACTTGCGTATGTGCAGTTTTACCCAGAGAAGTTGGGGCTGAGGCTGCCCAGCAGGACCTGTGTCCACTGCAGAACACCATGCAGGCACCACAGCAGCACCACACACTCTTTGAATACCCCAAGGGGAACTCTGAGCAGATGGACGTCCCAAGGACCACAGCTCAGCTGTGGAAATGTGCAAGGAAGAAAGAGAGCAGCCATTGTGGTACTGGATGGCAGGCACGTGCCACTCTCATCTTGCACATGCTGGTGACGTGATTTTAGTGAAGGTGCTTGTAAGGCTTCAGAAGTTCACAGTATGAGGCTTGTTTGTAACTACAGTCTATCCACACCATAGCTGACATGGCTGTGAATTTATTGGGGTACTGCAGCTACTTGGTCAGTCTGTAACCTCCCTGGCAGCTGTGGTCCCTAAGCCCAAGCAAGTGGAGACAACAGCGATGCCCATTCCCCTGAGCAGAGGCACTGTGTGACAAACATCTCAATGCATCAAAGCACATTGCTCCTCACATAGCTAGTCTTTGTGAGACAGTTCAGCTGAATTAGACCATGTGTCTGTGACCACTGGGTCACACCTTAGTATGGCAATTTCAGGTCAACAGGACAAGGAAATTCTATATCCGTAATACAGGAAATGCTTTCTTGACTAACAGGAAAGTGTGTAATCTTGTTCAAAAGTAATTTTTCTTCCTCCACACTGTATTTCAGACTGCATGGAGACAACTTGTTTAAACAAGGGAGCGTACTTTTTCTGTCAAAAGCATTAACTTCTGGCTGCTTCCCACTTGAAAATCATTTAAGGAAGTGTTTTGGGTTTTTTTTTTCTTCTGCAATGGCAACAGAGTATATATGTATTGTCTGTCTCCTAAAATATTAACATTCTGTCAACTCTATCAAACCTTCTGATCTTCGACTTCCCACAAAGTCCACAAGGTGTCTACTTACCTTAAGCAAAAAAGGATTTCAGTCAGAAGGATGGGAACTTTAATGAAGCATGATATTCCCTACTGTATTACCCAGTCCCTAGAGACATTTAAAATACATTTAAAAAAAAAAAAAAAAAGCAAATGCAGCCAGTGTACTCAGAGGAACTCTGGGATCGGTCTTTGACAACACATCATACTACAAGCAGCCTGCTTCCTCATTTGGTACCAGAATCTCTGCTGGCCAAAAAACTCACCATACCGCTCCCAGTCCTACAGGATCATCTAGCCATTTCCTTCCTTCTTTTCCTGACTCCAGCTAGGTGCACAATTGTCTTTCCAGTACACAGTCCCACTGGAAAAGGCAGTGCTGCTCCAGCTAAGTTCAGCAATAAGTCATTCCTCTAAAATTAGGGCAAAAATGGGCAATTTGCCAATTACTCAGGGGTTTAGCAGACCAAAACACACAGCTCCATTAAACCAAGCAGACTGCCATCAGAGAAAGACAGAGAGTGGACTGCAAGGTTTGATGGAGTGGCCCCAGCCACAGTGCTGGAATGGTGGTTAGCAGTCACTTATCTTAGGCAGGTCAAGATGGAGAAGCTCTGCCTGAGCCCTTGTGGCACACACTCCCGGGACCAGCACTGTACACACTACACTGGCGTACACCTTGAGCTTCTGCATGCAGGGAGAGGTGGAAAGAGTCCTCTACCATGCCTCCCTGGCATGCTCTGTGGTCCCTCCAACCACTCTGAACCCTTCAGCCAGCTTAAACCAAATTTAGCAGTGGCAGAAGTCTCAAAGGCATTCAGCACCTCCAGGCTTTTCCATGACCTTCACTGGCATAGTAGAGCACAGGAGACCTACTAGCAAATTCTTCTGAACAGCCCATATATAAGGAGTGCTTCAATCAAAATGTGTTCATGACAAAACAAGTCCAGAAATAAAACACTGAATACATTAGTTGCAATTTTGAAAGCATATGAAAGGCAAAGGTCATTGTTCCCTGCTATTCTGAGGTTGCTGGTCTGGAATGCTACCATTGCTTTCCAGAAGGCATCCAAGAGGCACTTCCTGCTTCTTTGCGGATAGTGCAATTTGTGGGTACCCACCTGACAACGCTTTGGAAGACCAGCACGGCAGCATGTGGAAGGAGTAGATGTGGTAGGGTGCCACTTGAAATTATAAGCTTTAAGTCATAATTAAGTCATTCTGACAGGAGAACCAATTTACCTCCATACCAAGTGGCTGTCTTCGTTGGAACAAACAAGATTACAGGCCATTTGGGAGTGGGCTTAAATAACCATTCCTTGGTCAGAAATCACACAGCCCAGCAAGTCACAATGAACCCTCCAGCACATTTCCCTCAGCTTCAAACCTCTCTTGACCACTTCAGGAGTTCGTTTCCCAGTGCTTCTCTGACAGACAGCAAGCAAACATGGTCCCTTTTCACAGCGACTTCAAGAAACAAAGGCACTACATAAAACACCAACTGGCAACAAAGATCTACCAGTTGTAGACCACCACTCCTAATATGAAGTGAACCACAATGGACAACATTGATCCAGTTGTTATCACCAATAACAAAGAGGACAGTTATTTTAAAAGCACAGCTGGTGATCCCAGTTTCTCAAGGCAGAATAAAAACATGTGGGACCAGACCCCTCCTACGCAACTGGCAATGCACTGACGACATGTAGGAGCCCAGCGTTAGGCTTTGTGGCTCAGTTTTGCAGCTGGAAGTGCTAGTGCTGGGTTGCCTAGGTGGGACACGAAGGGACACAGGCTCACCACCTCTGGCAAGTCCCAGGACATACAGTGGTAGAAACAAATCCTTAAGAGGAAAGCCAAAGGAGGTATTGGAACAACAGGGTAAAAACAAGAAAGAATTATCAGACTAGCCATGTCTTTCTCATTTCCCTAATAACACATGTGAAACATCTACTAGAACACCCAGCATTGCTGAAAAGGCACCACAGTTGCAGTGAAATACAACTACTTAAACTCAGATATCCAAGCTGAAGGAAAAACTGAAGAAGTGTATTCAAAGGCTTCTTTTAAAACAGCAAAAGTATTGTATAAAAACATTTCTCTGTACAGTAACATTAAAATGAGAAACATTAACGTCTGCATCTTGCTTCAGCTAGTATTAAATTTCATCATAGCTAATGGAAAGTACCAATGGCTGCTCTACAACAGCCCTAAAAGCAATGAAAGGCAGCTCACTGACTCTGCAAAATTGAAGATTGCTCCTAGCTCTGTGCATCTCAAAATACGTCGTGGAGTGGAAAATCTTGTTCCCCTTGAAGGGAACACAGGTTTTAAAAAAAAAACACCAAGAGAGACCTATGTCGTTTGGCTGGTTATTTGAGACCTTCCACGTTTCCAGAGGAGAGAGATTCCAGAGCTGCCTGTTATGAGCAACTCTTCTCCTTGTATTTCTGGTAAGCATCCAGTATCTCCTTGACAACAGCTGGATCATCAAGTGTGGTGACATCTCCCATGTTGCTTGATTGTTCAATGACTACTTTCCTCAGCAGCCTTCTCATGATCTTCCCTGATCGGGTTTTAGGAAGACGTTTCACCACCTGCAGAGAAAGGAACGACACACCTGTATTAGAACCTGGTCCCGCTGGAAACCACAAGGAAATCTGGCTGAACTGTCCTAAGCCTAGCACACTATCTCATGGCCACAGCTCCTTTGAGGCTCCCAGGAAATACTAGACCATTGAGCACACTAGTTTATGTCCAAGGAAAGGAATATCACTAGCATCAATTCCTTGTGCTACAAATTTTATCCTTAAGTGGACTTTCTTCCCAGTTTACCCATTGCTGTGTATCTCCAGGCTGGGTGCTGCAGGATGCACAGGTCTTTGGAGAATCATGTCCTGAATAAGCTGTTAACTATTGAACTAGAAAGCTAGTTACACTTGGAAACTCCGGCACTGATGAAGACACAGATTTCAGAGCATTACCAGAACAGACCGACATATTCCCCTTTATAGGGCCGGAACACAAAGCACACAATACTGCACACCAGCTACAGGGTCTCCTGCTCAAGGGATAACTCCCATCTCCTGATGTTTCTCTCTGCCTGATTATGTCAGCCTATACCTGCCTTCCTTCATAACCAGAAGAATGATAAATGTCTTGGCTACGCTTCCTGCAAAGGACTTAGCAGCACATTCAAAGGCTTTAGCATAAACTTGAGCCTGGTAAAGAGTTCTCAGGCACTGAACAGAGATGCTAGCAGGTCTCACATTTTGCTAACATGATCAGGCCAGTAGGCTGCAAAACCCCAAAGCATTAACTAACATGCAAGGAAAGAGTTGTAGGACTTCTCTTCAGGACTAACCCCAAACACAGCAAAACAGAGGTGCTTCCTTGCAAACCTGCAAGTTCTGGAAGCTACTCCAATCCACTGGGGATGTCCTGGGCTGTTCCAAGTGAATGAGCCACCCTTGCCTGCTCCTGTTGTCTTCTGTAACCCATGTCTTGGCATCCACCTTTCAAGTATGTGGCTAAACCAGAGCCCCTCAAAGAAGTGGTCTGGTCACTGCCTCCAAGCAGAGAGTGGAATGGATGCAGGCAGGCCTTGGGGAGCAGCTAAGGGGCAGTTTTGTGCACTCTCCCAAACACACAAGGGAGCTGCTGAAAGGTGAGGAGGCTTGAAACAGAGCCTGGAGTTCATCAGTGCTCCCAGGGCCAGGCTGAACAGCTGTCAGTTATGCAACAGAAACATACACTGCTCTGAGATCTGGGGTTGATGCTAATTATCAATGCAAAATAGCTGGGCAGTGGGAAGTGTCACTCTGCCTCTCAGTGACGCATTTCTCTACAGTTGGTGGGTTTTTATCTGATTCATTGCACAGGTCCACAGAGAGCGCTGCTACACTGCTTCCGCAAGGGGTCAGCTGAGGGCAAGAGCTGTACGGAGCACTAATGCTGCTGCATGGTGAACAGGAACATCAAGCACATCTTGACGTACAGGGTGGGTCTGGGGCTCCCCTTTGCCAGAGCTCTTGCTAAGCACAGTGCTCTCAACACTCTCTGTGCATCCCATTTAAAGGGTTGTTCAGTCCTTGGCCCAAATGGAGCAGCCTCACGGTAGCTGTGAAACATGCTCTGTCAACAGCCCCACTGAGAAGCTGCTCTGCAGGCTGGAGCAGCTGTAATATCACAGCCACCCTCTGGGTCACCGCTGATCCCCAGGCAAGGAGAAGGAGCACATGCAGACCACTACATCTGCCCTCCCCTACCTAGGGATCTCTCCAGCTAGTTTTCTTCCTCCTGTGCCCTGCCAGAGAGGGACCACAGCAGCACAGCAGGTAGGAAGATGAGGCTGGCTCAACGTGACCATTCCAGCTCCTGGTACCAGTTACAGTCTCCCACTTACCAGAATGTGGTCAGGCACAGCATATTTTGCTATCTTGGAAGCCACTATGGTTTTGAGCTCTTCTTTGACACGGTCTATATGAGCTGTCTCCTCCTTTAGCACTATGAAAGCAAAGGCGCCTGGAAGACAAATGAGTGGAAGCCACAAACCTCATATTAGATCCTGGCTGGCAAGACCATGGATGCTCATTCGAATGCCAAGGCAGGTTTCAAATCATTCCTATGTGCCATTTAGGGACTGCCAAAAAAGCCATAGATCCTGCTTACAAAAGGGAGTCAGACTCCAGCCCTCAAAAGATGGCCCAGCCTTGTCTTGGTGTCGATGTACCAGACTGATCTCGGTGACAATGACAACTCAACATAAATTACCAAAGTGTCACTGGGATCAAAATCTGGCCAAAGCAAATCAACTGTTCCCATTCTGTTCAAAGGACATCTCTGAGAACAATCCTTTTAAAGGAAGCTCTACCACAAACATAAACACTATGTGCAAAAACAGTTTAGGGAGTAATACCCGTACCCAGCTTAGGAACATGCAGTTGCTTTCATGGCTGTCTTTGCTTCTCGGGGCTGCAATGCCAGTCATCCTAAGGATAACTGCCCTCCCATTCCCCAGGCACCTCCTAACATGCAGCCCAGGTTAGAAATTAAGGGAAGTGTGCATAAGTGTCACGTCAGGACACTGCTTTTCACATACCTTCTCCTTTGATCTTGTGTGGATATCCAATCACAGCTGTCTCGGGGACCTCAGGGTGATCAGCCTTCACAAAAAGTGAAATAAAAATACACAGAGCATAACAACTGCTTCAAGCCCCGCAGAGTTTGTGCCAGTTGCTCTAGGAACAAAACACCTTGCCATATCTCACCCTTCCCTGGGCAGATCCTGCTTAAAGCACAACAGGAAAGCTGGATCCTGCCTTCCTACTGCATGGTCAGCTGGTGGCCACAGCCATGGCCACACCTCTGGGAGCAGCATTTACTCACTGGATTGGCCCTGCTTTCAAACACACAAACTTACATACACTGCTAAGCCCACTGCGCACCAAGCTGAATTCGCACCAGTTAGAAACCAGTTTTCTCTTTCTTTTTCTGTGCTCTTGTGTGTGCATGGCTATGGTCCCAAGTGGTGACTGGCCATGGCCAAATCACAAGCAAAACCAGTCCTGCATTGCTCTGTGCCACAAGGAACTGCTGCCAGCAGAGCAAAAGTGAAGCTGCCAACATCACAGTCCACATTTGACTGGTGTTTATAAGTGCCCAAAGTACACCAGAAGGCAGAAAGAATCAGGCTTCTTCTCCTTCTCAGAAGGGGCGAAGGGTTGTTTTGCCGAATGCATATTTTTATTATTATACTACACAACAGCGATTTATTTTGTCACACTTCATAGTTTAATTTAACATTCTTCTGCAGTAAGAAGACAATTTGGGTTTATAGACCAGAAGAAATCATATATCTGAATCCCACACCAAAGGCCGGATTATGCTATCTTAAATTAGATTAAAATATGAAAGAAAACATCACAGAGGAATCTAAGCATATAAATATATTTGCATATACCCATGCATACACATGCATAGAGTAGGAGAGGAACTGGATCCTGTATCTATGACCAGAAACCCACACAGACAAAAAAATTACTCACAGAGGAGAAAGTAGGATCCTGTGTGCCATGTGAACACAGCTCAGGTTTATCAAATGTTACATTTAAGTGCCATTTGCAGGCAAGGCACATAGTATAGAAATAAATATTCAGGCCAAGGTTTGAAGATAAACGCTCTCAGGACTTTTCGGTTTTAGTTCCCTGAGATAATATTATTTTCTCTCAAAATGACAAGCTAGCTTTGCAGCTGACACGAATCAAGGTTGCTTCATATTTAGCACTGCTGACTTCTCAGGCATATTCAGCTAGTTTGGATGAGCAAGAACCACGGATTTGGGAAGTAGAGGTTAGCTGTTAGCAGAGGGGAAGGAACAAACAGGAGAGACAATCCCTTATGGAGACTCCACTAATATCCAAAATTACAACTGCAACAGCACAACATCACTGAGATGAAACGCAGCTCTGACAGCTCAACTGCAGGGACTGCCCACAGTATGACTCCTCCTTGATAAGGGAGCTGTTTCCTTCTGCACATTTGCTATTCATTATCCATCATCTGTGTGTATGCAGGGGCAGGGGCCTGAAGGCAAGAGACCCTGCACTTATTTAAATTCATAAAGCTTCTTTGAAAGGGCCACCCTGCCCCACAGATACACCCTGTCAAGGGACCTCTACCTGCTTGGAACTTACCATTGCATCTTCTATCTCTGCCGTCCCGAGCCTGTGTCCGCTGATGTTAATGACATCATCCATGCGCCCCGTTATCTGGTAATAGCCTCTCTTGGTCCTGTAAGCACCATCCCCTGTGAAGTAGTAACCTACAGCAGAGACATGGGTGGTCAGCACCAGGACGTGTGCCAGCCGATTGCTTTGGGCTCTGACGCAGAACAGACTATGCTCTAGGATGGTGAGTAGGGTAGAGTGGATGAGGCAGCTCGCAGGGCCTTGTAAGCTTAAAGCTGGGTGACCTGCCACACAGCATTTCCCACTTCCCTCTGCCATCCCCAACCTTTGTCTGCTCTGCCCGGGCTGTGCTGGCTCCTAGTAAGCACCTGAGCAGCACCAAGACAGTGGAGCTCAGATCTCTGCCAAGATGGGCAAAATCACGGTAGGCAATGAGCAGCAACCAGTGGCTGATGTCCTTGCAGTAAAACCAGGTCGAGCAACACAACACAACAGCGATGCTTTGCTGGATTTACAAAATCAAGGGCGGCTCTCTGATCGCCCTAGGCTTTACACGCTTACAGCAACTGTGTGTTTAGGCCTGGTGTGTACTAAGATAAAACCACTTCAAATGCCACTTGCCATCATGCCGTAGGCTATTGGTCAAACTCAGGTCTGCTGCTAGCTACACCTCAGCACTCCTGGAAAACTATAACTGCTCAGCTGAAAGGGAGCAGTTCTATTACATTTTGTACATGGGAACATTGCCAGTTTTTTTAATCGCTTACACTGGGACAGCTCCCTCCTTGCTAACTAATCTTTATTCAGATCCCAGATAACAGTCCCTCTCCAGCATGTGAGCATAGCAGAAACACCGCTATCAGATTAGCTGAAAAAAACCCAAACAACAAAACACTATAAGCATGGTGTTTGGAGGGTCTAAAACATTTGATGGAACTGAAAAAGACCCAGTGGTTCCAGGAAACTCCAGTGTCACTGAGGACACATCTTGTGACACAGATTGTTGGCTCTTTATCAATGCCATGTCCGCATCTAAATTGCTCCTGTGGCACTTCTGAGCAGCAGCAGGCAACTAGTTCTGTGAAATCTGAAGGTGGTTCTTGCCAGGACCCATTATTGGCTAATTTATGGACTTTCAGTCATGCCTCCTGCCCTTCCAAATCAATTAAAAAACTATCAACTAAATATCAACAAGATTTCATATGCAAACGCGTAGTAAATAATGAGGGACTATGGGCTCATTCAATTTCTTCCACCAGTTTCCCATTCTTATTTTCCAAGGCATTTTGTACATTTTGCAGGATTGTCTCTCTAATTCTTGTCTACCTCGTATCTTTCAAATCCCTTTCAGTTGCTCCCCTAAGTGAAGACAGTGGTCTTCTCCACCCTCCTACAAAAAATATTTCCCTGCCACTTCTAATTACTTGCCAGATACAACTTGACCATCTTTTAAAAAAGAGGGATGTAACACAGCCTCTGACAGCAGGGGCGAGATTCAGTGATGCAGGTGGTACTTTCCCATCCAATATGCCTATTTCCAAGTGAGACACAAATGGTGCCAAAGAAAAGGTATTTGGACTTTAAAATTTGGGCATCAAAATTTTCTAAAAAATACGTTCCCTTTTGACACTAGAAAGGTCAACACTATCTAAGACCATGCATGCTTGCAATACATGACACACAACCTCAAGCAACCAAGAGCTAGCTGGTACAGAAATACCACAAAGTGCTGCTGAAAACATTCAGTGTGCTTATACTGCAGTGCAAACTGCCTTCCCATGGCACTTTCCTTACCTGGGTAGGCTTTGAAATAGGCATCAACAAATCGCTGGTGATCTCCATAGATTGTTCTTGCCATGCCAGGCCATGGCTGGGCAATGCAGAGTGCACCGGACACATCATTGCCCTCTATAACCTTTCCCTGCAGGTTCAAGCATAGGAAGGATGATCAGGTGAACAAAGTAGGAATAGTAAGGGCTTCTGTGTCATTGATCTGGCAAGAATCACCCTGTTGCTCACTGCAGACTGTCAGCGGAGGGCCACAGGTGGAGAAAATGAATCCACTCATGGAGCTACTATGCACTGTCTGTATCATGCCTTCCTCACCCCTTGAGGCCAGCAGCACAGCAGAAAAGACTAAAAGAAAAGCGAGTCCTGTGATTCTCTGGAGGGCAATGCCAGCAAAGATGACAGCAAAGATGTGCTGAGCAGCCAGAGGATGCATGGAGTGAGGCTAGCAGGGAAATGCCTGGACCCCTGCCTTCCACTTTCACTTTTGTTAACTGCTGCATTCCCTTACCAAACTGTATAGGAGGAGATTACATGCTTTACTGTTTAACAGAGCGCTGGAGGGCAGGTGGGGATCGCTCCACACAGCTTCACAGACCAGCACCAGTTTCCTCATAGACACACGCATGCCTCATGCCTTGCATTTCCCTTGGAAAACTCCACCAGTCCCGTTGGCTGCTCCAGTCTTGCCACGTCACTGGATGTTGCATTCATTGCTCCAACTGTTCAGCTCCCTGGTTCCCGGGAGCTGTGTGACTTCTGACTTCTCTCATAAACGGAGGCAGCAGCTCTTAATCAGAAGCAGTGTAAGACCATAAAAGTCGTGCTGAAAATGTAAACACTCCTCTAGAGATTTGCAGCCAGCTTGCAATGCCCAGTTGGCAATCTGTACAGACGTTTGAGATACACTCAATATATAAACTGGTCACCTATTCTACCATTATAATGGAGAAACAAACATCCTTCCAGATCCTGTTCCTCTGCCATCAGAAAGGTGATTAAGGTGGAAACACACACCAGCTTTTCTTTTGGGCACCCAGCACAGCCTTAACTCACATTCTCATCCATCAGCACAGGTACAATCCCAAAAAAAGGTCTCATTGCCATAGCCGGAACAATCTCAGCTTTCTCCTCCGAAGGCCGTGGGGCAATGCAGATGCCACCTGTTTCTGGAAGAATAATGAAAAACAAAATATGTGGGGTCCACGCAAAGCTGGGTGAAAGCAGATGCCAGTTCTTAGTTAGATAAGAGAATAGCAAAGCCATCTTGCAAGAAAAAGCCACCGGGAAGGAATTACGCAGCACCAAGTAGGACAGCTATCTGAAAGCAGCACAGACCTGATAAATCAAGAGCTCTTTGTGAATACAAAACAGGTTTAAACATAGAACAAAGTCTGGGAAGCCAGGATGACACCACCAAGGCCTGTTCTGTCTACAGGGCACATTGCAGCAGGCAGAGAATGGAGACCTACAGGCAGGTGACCCCTTGGTGAGCCTGGATCAAGAGCTACTCCTACTCCCTGTTTGCACAGTGCCTCATTCAGTGCTGGCTGCAAAAATCACTGCCCCCTGTGTACACTGGTGACAAACCACAGAGTGTGGCCAAGCAGCTGCCTCAGGGCAACGGCAGCTCCTCATGCCCCAGAGCATCAGGATGGCTGACAGTCCGGCTTAGCTCTTCAAAGGCTCAGAGGAGAGCAGTACACGGTTCTACAGCAGCTGGCTTTGCACAGGACAGCCTGCGGAACCTGCAGCTGCAGAACGCTGTCTGTTGCGTTCAACAACCTTCCCACAGCCCCATCCATGGCAAATCACTCAGGCACAGTGAAGACCCCATTGATTCAGCCCACATGCTCTGTTCCCTACATCTAGCCCTAAGCCAGCTCACAGATAAACCCATTCCTCCAGCTACCAACCAGCAACAAATACAGGCAGCTCTAACACACGCTTACACCCTTGCAGGTCCTTCTCACACTAACAGGGCTACCTGGTGGCAGGGGCACTACTCACCAGCCCATTTCTTACCCCAGAAGTGATTCCACAAGGGAAGTATAAGAATGTCAGGGGATTTATCTCCTGGTGCTGTTTTTACAGCTGGCTAAGGTTAGCATGAAAAGCACTTCAGGAGTCTGAGTTACTATTATTACAGAGCATGAGATTAACCCAGCCCTTACAGGCAGGGTGAGCCTATCTTCTCTTCAAAATTGAACCCTTTCATCATCCTTTTTATTCCTGCTGGGATGAACATTAAATCAGAATCCAACCTTAATCAGATCTTTCTATTCTAAAACTAATCCAGAAACACAAAAGAGAAACAAAAACAAAGCAGCATTAGGCTTTTAGAAATACAGGTCTATAAATAAAGATATGTTCTGCCACTTGTGGAGCGCATTCCTCTGCCAGCTTTGCTGAGGTTGTGAAACCTGAAAACAGAGATTGGAAAGGCTGAATTTGACCCTGAATTTGCATCCAGCTGCCCTGACGTAGCTATGAGGGTCTCTCTGAGGAACCCTAAGCTTCAGACCTGCAGAAAATAGTTTCGCATGTGGCTTAGACCATATAAAATTATTTCACATTTCACTGATGGGCATGCATTCACTTCACATGTTTCTGTTTATTTTGAAAAGCTCATCTTGATTTTTTTCAGAAAAAGAAAAAAGCACCCCAGACACCTGCTGTTCTCTGTTTGCACAGACAAAACCAGTATCAGAGCAGGTAACCTGATTAAACTGATAGTTGCTCTTCCTAAGCCAGTACTCATTCTGAATACAGCACTGCAAGCTGTTTTGACATGGGTTTTGCCACATCCTACACATCCTGCAGCCAGCTACACAGAAGGCAGTAAAGTCACATTCTAGAAGGAGCTGCATGGTGGCCAGGGTGCTTTAAAAATTATCTGCATGTTCAAGACCTATTTTAAACCGGTTTAAAAGCATCAATTTTAGGCACTGACAGATGACAGCTAGCAAGGCTTCGAGGCTCTACCTTGCCCTTATGAAGTCTGTCTCTTTAGAGGCAGAGCTGGCAGAAGAGAAAACGTGCTTCCACATTACCTGTGCCCATACTGTCACCATAGTGCAAATCAACCCAGACTTTAAGCAAGGATAGCAGAGTCTGAGCAGGGAGGATGATGCAGCGAAACAGGCTCCCCTCTGCCATGGGTAAATCATGTCTGGCAGCAGGGTAGAGTATGTACTCCCTGCTAGTGTTGTCTTCACCACCTTAGATAGATTGGACTGACTCCTTTGGGGGCAATCCATGTCAGAAACACTAGCCCAGTCTAAACTGCTGTAAGATGATGACAACAACAAAAGCTTTCAGGACCTATTCAGAGCTGTCTTTCAAACCCAGCTTTTGTTCACAGCTGCATAAAACAGCTGCACCTTTTATAAAACCAACGACAAAAGTAAAAACACCTAGTGTCTGTTCTGCACTGTGAAGAACTACACCTGAAACTCAAACACAGCTTTGATTCTATTACTGTCAATCACAGCACAGCACTACCTAACATTTTAACAGTAAGAGCCATAGCAATTTTTCATCTCTCTCTTCTGCACACACCAAACTGCTTAAATTGCTTCTTGTAATTGCTGTCTCACTCATTTGCTCATCCAAAGACTTCCAAGTGGATTCTTAAATCACCATTTGCTGATCTTTACGCCTACCAGGTTTTATTAGCTGGCAACACGTTGCTGCTTTGGAGAGCAACACACCGTAGAGGACACTGCATACAACAGCGCAATTAACAAGCTACACTGAAATTGCATACAAGAGATGACACTGCAGGACCACAATCAGCATCCATCAAACTGTTTCTGTGATCTCTTTCCACGCTCCCTTTACATTCAAATGGCATATATAATGTTTCCAAGATTAATTTGGCTTCCTTTTTATTGGAAGCATCAACTGTGGAGAAAGATTGATTCTACTTTCTAACAAAATCAATTTAATGAATATTTACCATTATATTATGCTTCCAGGAGCTGGTAACTGTTTACCTGCAAAACTATGCCTGGTTCACAGTAAGATCAAGCGCTCTGCACTTACAGACCATCCAGCAAATGTTCTTTAACCTCTCACCTAGCAGTTGTTACTCCAAAAACCCAGAAGAAATACAGTTTAATATAAGATCTAACCCTGTACTTCGGAGGAAATAGAAGACACTGCATGCACCAGTTAACTGAAGACAAACAAACAAAAAATGTTAGGGCAAAAAATGATTCTTCTCCACTCTGACACTGTACAGTAATCAACTGCTTCTCCAGGATGTTTTATTTCAAAGCAGTAAGGAGGAAACCATATAGCACCTAGCCAGTCAGCTTTCCGTCTGCTCAGCATGTGAGAGCCCAGATGGTTTAAGAGATCAGTACTTGAAGTAGATTGTAGTTAACATTGCTGCACCGAATTCTAGGTCGTTTTATTTCAAATCTGAAAATAAAAAGAGTCTGCAAGTCTGGTCTGGATTAAATGGAACTTGGTTGTGTGCCAGAAGCTAATTCATCACATCGAGATAGGCCACAGGGATCTGGAAGAGAGAGCCTGCTAGCAGGAATACAGATGAAATCAGGAGCAGCTAGACTGGAAAGGGAATGAATATTCTGCCCAATGGCAGCTAGAAATTTAAGGGTAGGGATGGCTTTTTTTCAGGAGAGGTAGAATGCCAGCAGCTTTGTTGCATCCTTTAAGTCCACAGCTCCATGGCAAACTGTGGTTCACAACTTGAGAAGGACATATTGCAAGACAACTTTAGCAACTCCTGAATGTTGCTGCCCAGAAGAGAGGACCAGGTACTGAGGAAGGAGCCGGGAAGGAGCTGAAGGACTCCAAGCACAGAGCTCCCACCAGGCAGCACCGCCCCAGCCAAAGTGCAGCGCTGTGGCCCCTCTCCACTGCCAGCCCAGGAGGGCAGGCGGCAGGGACCAGCTCTGCTCCAACTGGACAGGGATCTTTGAGAGGCAGTCACTCTGCCCAGCAGGTTGTAAATGGAAAAACAGCCTTAACTGATGCACATAGCTGGGCCAAGCACGTTGCCGAAACAGAAGCACATTCGTTTTTGAGGCATCAAATGTCCAGGACCAAAGCAACCACAGCACACTACTTCACTCCTGGGAGAAGCTGCTCCCAGGCAGCCCTGCTGGGTGACAGCCACTGTCCCCTACCCACCTGATGCACAGCCAGCAAGCCTCCACCCACTCCTTTCCAATCCACCAGAGCAGCTGCACTACATCCCTCTGACTACACAGCTCAGTTTTCCATCCTCCTCTGACCATTCCCAGGCAGGGAAACAAAGCACACCTAAGTACAGGTTGTGGCTATATGGTGCTATAAATGCCTTTTCATGATAAGACCATATCAAGGTGAGTACAGTTGGATAAATTATTGAAAATGAGGTTTCCAATTCAAGTTGCCTACTCCCAGCTTTGTCCAGAAATGCAATCTCTGCCTCCTGTTTCTAGAATGATTGGAGATTTTCTGGCATTCAAAATATTGAAGAATATTGAGAGGGGAAAAGAAAAAAATACCAACATTGCTATTGCTTTTACATGCTGTTACACTGCTATTACGTGCTGAAACTCCCCAGTGACTTTCAAAAGCTGATCGAAATGCCAGTAGTATTTTTCTGACAGACTCGTTGGATCAAATTGAAATGTACCAATCCCTCTCTACCCACCAGCAACATGTCAACGGCCAGGGCCCTCCACGCTCCCCGAGGATGCCTTTTACCTGTCTGCCACCATGTGTCCACGAGGGTGCAGCGCCCTTCTCCCACCACGTGGTAGAACCACTGCCAAGCTTCGTTGTTGATGGGCTCTCCCACTAGACCAAAATAAGAAAGGAAGCAGCCTGAGACCCAGGGGCTTGCCTTGCAGGCAGTTCGTTCTCCTTTCTGGTGCACCACATGCTGAATGCATGATCTTTAAGCAGAATGCTTACAGCACTGCTTCTGGGATGTGCAAAGGACTGCAATGCAGTCATGTAACTGAGAACTGACTTTTTCCAGAAAGACCAAAAGGCAAGCAACAAATATCACTGAGAGTAACTAATCAATGCAGGTCACATATAAGAACCTCTAGAATCCTAAATAACACAGGAAAATGCTGCTTGGGTCACCTAAGCCAGTAAATTTCAAAGTGATGTCATTTACCATTGGACAAATCTTTTTAGCAAAGAATATGATCCTGCAAAATAAGCTAGGAAAGCTCATCACACTAAGGTTCAATGGCTGCAACTTCAGTTTGTTTCTTCTTCTGCTGAGAAAAGATCTGAATAGCCAGGCAGGGAGCCTGCTTTATCATCTATTTTAACCACATCCCACCTGGTCAGCCGGGCTCCTCTGGTACCATCATTTCACCAGCTAGAAACCCCTGTCTATTTCAGATGAAGATTTCATGACCCTTACCTGATCCCAAGGTCTTCAAGGAAGATCTGTCATATTTCTTCACCCACTCTTCTCCGTAATTCAGCAGCAAGCGTATCGCTGTAGGTGCTCCATAAAACTGATTAATTTTCAACCTTTGTACCATTTCCCAGTAACGACCTGCAAAATCACAAACAGGCTTTTTAATCTGTCTAGCACTGACATACTTCTGCAAATGCTCAACAGGAAGGTTAACAGCCAAAGCTAAAGCTGTGACTAACGTAAGCACAGAGCAAAACCAATGGCAAATTTTTTTCTTTTTCCCCACCCTGGAAGCACAGATGCTCCTGAATGTCATAGACACATGTTACAAAGAAATGGAGCTTACCTCCCCTGAGCCGGGAGGTCACACTGGACAGGTTTCTAAATCTCCTTTGTCACACTGCCGTGTCTAGTCAAACCTTTGCCCACCACTTCCTCACCTGGGTCAGGGTACACTGGAGTGCTTTCAAACAGGACAGAGGTGGCTCCATTGCAGAGTGGTCCATACACAACATAGCTATGTCCCGTGATCCAACCAATGTCAGCCACACAGCCAAAAATATCGCCTTGCTGGTAGTCAAATACATACTGCGAAGATAAATGTAAGGCCAGCTGACTTTCTGTTGGCAGGTGCAATGAGCTTAAAGGTAAGCTGCTGGACTGACATCCAAGCGGGTGTAAGAGAGCACGCAGGGCAAGTGGAGCCAGGCACATAGGACACAGCTGCATAAAAGCCAGCCCAAGGTGAGGAAACAAGCCAGAGGGACCAGTACCAGGGTCCCCAGGCTCCTACTGCTTTTGTAAACATCCAGGGAGCATGGCTCTATCACCAGCTGCTGAGATTGGAGCAACAAAGCTATGACCAAAGCCCAGAGTCCTGGATACCTAAGGCTGCTTACTCCAGGCAGTCCACGTAGCAGAGCTGACCCTGAACTGCAGAGAAGCCTCAGAGGCTCAGACCCCTCACAAATATCAACAGGTTTCCATGAGAAAGCTGGAGAAACTGATAGTTGCCCACAAAACATTTTCTGAGAATTGTTCTTAGCTGCTCAGCTTCTCTATCAGTGTATTGCTTTTCAGATGCTACCCTCTCCCTGCTCATCAAATTCAAGATAAAGACTTTGGAGAACTCATTATCTTGTCTTGGTTATGGAAAATGCTTCCCACTGTAAATCTAACTCGTCTAATGTACAGTGAAGAGGTTCTGACTCATAAGGCAGAGTCAGTTTTATGTTTTAAATCAAAGAAAGTAGATCAGAACTAAAAGAAGACCCCATGAGTGTGTGACAAGTGTTACACATGAGTGTGTGAAGACCACAGAGGCCACACAAGTCAGCTGATCTCTCTACCTAGGAGAGTCAATTCTCACGTTACTTTTGCCTTTCCCTCTCAGTCTCTGAAGTACCTCTAAAGGCACCACAGCTGTATACAGTGCCTCCCTGCATGTCTGTACCAGGGTGCAGGATATACCTTCTGGACTAAGAAAGCGGTGCCTCGCAGATTACACTGTCACTTAGAAAAGCTGACGTAACAAACACCCTTCATGCAGAGAAGTCTGACACTTGCACATTCAAATCTTCTAAAAATTCAACTGTGTTAGCCTAAAGGAAGAAAACCTCTGCCTGAACCGTGTGTGATTACAAATAGGGTGATACCACTAAAACCAGACAGAGATCTTTCACCACAGTCCTCTCCACATTTCGCTGTTACCTTTTCATAGGCAGAGCTCAGACCCGAAGCTTCACGAAGCAGCGCCTTGACTTTTTTTTTTCCCCATGAGAAAGGAAGGATCACACAGAAAAGCAGCGCAAAGGTGCAACCACAGAGAATGAATGTAACTTTTGATCTTCAGACAAATGCTCTGTAAAGAGGTTATGTTAAGAGACCAGATCCTCTCTGAAATAAAAAAGGCCAGCATCCCACTACTGCAAAATACTACAGTAAAATCCACATTACCAATGCCAGTAAGACACTTACCAGAATCTCCTCAGCTGCATCACTTTAATGTTTGCAAATTCTGGCCTGCAACACTAGCACATTTTAAATCCAAAAGTAGCAGCATGGCAGTTTCCTTCCTTTCATAACTCTAGGCTTTCGTTTGCATAGTATTATATTCCTCAGGAACAAATCCTGAAGATTAATTACACATTCTCAGACATTTTTCAGTATGTTTACACCCAATAAACCAATTGGGCAGCAAACACAGAATACAGCACCCCTCATCGGTCCAAGTCCCTCTCATTTGTAGCGTCAGAAGGCAAGTGAACCTTTTCCAGAGGATCCAGCCAAGTTACCTTGTGCGTGAGAGCAGCATACAGCAGGTACCCGGCCTGGGTGTGAACAATTCCTTTGGGTTTCCCAGTACTGCCTGAGGTATACAGCATAAAAAGCATGTCTTCGCTGTCCATGCTCTCTGGAGTGCATACAGAAGCTGCCTTGGCCATCTCCTAAGAAAAAAAAGATGGTAATGACAGAAAGACTTTAGCTATATGGAGCCAATGAATACTCCATCTGTAAGCATGTCAGCAGTGTCCAGAGAAAAGAACCACCATTGCTGTTGCCCCCTCACAAACATTCATGGATGTATCATAGGTTATATGTGCTCACCTAGTGGACAGGTTCCTGTGGACACATAGCACCAAGCCTTTCGACCAATACCTCTGGCTAGGCGCAGAAGTCAAGGGAAATTGGCCAGAAAAAATAACATTTCAGAAAAAAATGATAGGTCGTAGCTTACACTTCAAGCCTTTGCAAGCTGCTGGTAGAAAATCAAAGCATGAACGGAAACTTGAACCACATTTGACAGCAGCAGCAAGGCAGGCTGGATACTATTCAGGACTTTCCTTTTCCTTTTAAAACTGCAGCGCTACAGATAAACTGTGTGTTTGTCTCCCTTGCTTGGCCCCAGCAGTGGGTGACTGTCCTGTCCATTCAATTCTCAAATTCTTACTGCTTCTACCCATGAGAAGGAGAGCACTTTACTCTCCTGCCTCTGTTCACATACTCCACTGTTTGGCCATGTGGGTGAGATCCTCTCCTCACCCCTATGGTCAGAACCACAGGAGGGGAGGATGCAATGTCTACTAGGTCAGAGAAAACTTTTGGTCCAGCTTGTGTGCACAGTCCAGCAGAGGAAGGGGAAATAATGTGCCTTGAGAGAGATGCTTGTAGTCACTGAACCTTGCAGCAGCAGGGTGCTCGTCTGCCCGGACTGCAGATTTTTCAAGTTAAGACTGAACATTTTTCTTATCAATGTACAAACTTGCAATAATCACTGTGTGTTCCAGATGCTCAACATACGGCTGTAAAAAAAAGCACAGCTGGCTTGTTTCTCTCAAGCTCTGTACTGTCCTAGATGAATAATGATTCTCGCAAGGGTTATTAGGTGCTCTTTGAAGGAATTTCTAGGTACTGCCTTTTCACAGGTATACACTGTAAAAATGCCGTATTTACAAGTGAACACTACCAACAGTAGGTCCAGTTGTTTCAAAGTGTCTGACAAACAAAGCTTAATAAAATATTAAGAGTTGATAGGGTCAGATATAATTCTTAGCCTCTGAGTTACAGCACTCCCACTCATCTCAGGAATTTATTGTGACATTTCAGCACTGCCAATTCAGGCTGACTCGCCAGTTTTTGAAACTAAGAGGGTCTTCTCATTTACTCCATTACAATGTGAGCTTAAATTTTGCACTAAGCCATTGCACAAGAGCTGGAAAGCACAACTGTTGTAAACATCAGCAATGACAGAGTTAACAGCATTAATGGTATAATTGTTGTTATGCTTCAGACCCTACAACTGACAATGGGCTAAGCTCAGCTCTTGGATCACCAAAGCACCTCAGGCTGTTTGCAGACTAAGGAAAATCGTCATAATGTGCTCTGTGGAGTGAGAAGGATTAAGACAATTTCCAAATAAAACCTGCCTTCTCTGTTCAACTTACCCTAGTAGTTGCTCCTATCTCATGTGACCAGCACAGGGACTCCTAAGTAATTATCTTGGCTGCAGATGGGTCATTTCCAGGCATTATGACAATGAGTAGTTTCTGTTTACTGCTGCCGGCAAACTGATAAAACTACTTCTGCCTGAGGCTGCCGTCCCATGAGTACGACCTAAACACATTAAAACGACGGCTGTTTTCTTCCCCAGGAAGCACAGGTTCCAAATATTCCCAAGCCATCACTGTCCTCCCATCGTGAGGTAACCACAACACTGTCCATAGGCTATATTAAGCCTCTCCAAGAACTTGATTATCGCTGCACTGCCTTTCAATAGTGTCCTGTCTGAGAGTGCATATGACAAACCATTAACAGAGTGTATGAACACAGTATAACAACAGCAATGGTATCAGTGCACTCTGGGTCTCAGGAAACACTCATTCCTTAAATCTCAGCACCATTTGCAAGACTACTAAAGTGGAGCAGCATACCCCCTGCCCACGCTGAGATGAATCAGACATAGATTGAGCTGCTTTGACTCACAATCCTAGCAGACTGTAAATACAGGCAAATCTTTTAAGGATGAAGATCCAGTTGCCATAAGGGGCATCTTCTCTTAGGAGGTCCAAAAGGCACAGATGGAGAGAAAGATGATCTAGCCAACACTCAGACCTAAAAGGAGTCATCCAGGGTGCCAGTGGGTGTCTGCAGAGCTAGGTGACTGCAGGGACGTACAGATGCTGTCACTGCAACATAGCTGGATCCATTAGCCTACCAGGATACTGTGGCAGCACGGGAAGAGCAGGCACACACTGAAAACCTGCTCCTGAGGCAGCAAAAAGGCCAGTCATTGCTGGCAGGTCTGGTGCCACTACAGTACCAAGCTGTAGTGCTGCAGCCACTTCATAGACTTTTAGCTCAGCACACGTACTGAAGGAAACTATGGAGACTGCCTGACCTCCTCTGGTTGCCGATTCCCAGTATAGCCTACAGCTGATCAAAGACCAAAGCCAAATACCAGAGCGTGTATGATCTACACATTCAGTAAGACTCTCTCGCACGTGTTCTGAACAGCCCTGCATCGGGTCTCTCAGAGATGTCAGTGTTAGCTGGTCCTTACATTTATTAGTGCACCATATTTCTCTCCCCCAGCACAGTAAACATCACACACTTCAAGAAACATAAGGGAAAACAGGCAAGGTTTAACAACACCAACATACCTCCTCAAGGGGAATATCACGGTCACCCATCTGGACTTTGTTATCTGTCCTCTGAGCCACAAAGACATGTTTGATGCTTGGACAGTTCTTCACAGCTTCATCCACAGTCGTTTTCAGCTCTATGATTCGTCCTCCCCTGACTCCCTGGTTGTAGGTGATAACTGCTTTGCATCCAGCTAAAAAGAGAAAGAATTAGCAGACATACCAGCCTGCTCCCATTACTTTTGGGGATGATACATAGGACAACATGTGTGACAAATACTTAGAACTTCTATCAGTCAAGAATAGCCAAGCGTCACCTACAAGAACACTTTAAAACCTGAGACCCACAGAGATTACGAGTAGCTGGAACCTCCATAGGTTATCTGGTCCATCTCCCCCACCCCGAAGCAGGGTCCACTCCAGCTAAACCATTTCTGACAGCTGTCAGTCCCATCCTCCTAAAACACTCCAATGGTAGCTATTCTACCCTGTCCCCACCAGTCCACTCCAGTGCCTATCATGAGCATGAGAAAGTCTCTCCCAATGTCTAGCCTAAATATCACTCACTGCAATTTAAATGCCTCCATTTCTGCCTAGCAAAGACGACACACAGAACAGTTTCTTCCCAGTTACCTGTGTTACAGTGAATATTGCTGCTTTAGCTTAACAGCTCACATACTGAAACCAGTGCAAGACTTCCTACAACCTTAGTGAACAAGTACCTTTGCCTCTCTCTCCTCCTCTCTCTCTGGGGATGCATCTAAGTGTCCACTGCAAACTGAAGTGAACAGCACCAAACTGAGCAGCCTCTCAGAGGTGTTACCCTGCTCTGAGACACTTTCAGCCTTCTGAAACTCACCCGTACCTTGAGAGGAAACCTACTGGAAGCCACAGCATGCAGCAGCACTCTGGCAGGGCACTTCAAATTGCACCATGCTACGTTATTACAGAGCTGTGGCTGCAGAAAAATGGCTCTTTAGCCCATCACCTCTACACAAGAGGCCAAAAGTGAGGGATAACTAAAATGTGTACTTACTCTCTACAGATTAACTCTACTAAAACAGAAAAAAAAGCAGGAAAATTGCTGTAAGACTTATTCCCTCGCACTAGCCATAAAGAAACTCATATGACTGCTAGGACATTAGCCACTTGCTGTTTTCTTCTGCTGCTGCTATTTTTAGCATTACTTTTTACCTAATAACACTACAAGTGCTTTGGGCTAAGAACAGCTCTGTCTGTTGGTACAACAGCTAACAGAGCAGGGGCAGGGTGCCAACACTTCCAGTGCTATACATAAATCACAGTATCACAATCAAGACCGCAGAATTAGCACCGAGCAGGAGTATCAAAGAAACACTGCAATTATACTGCAAAAGAACAAATCAGGCCCAACTCCTAAGCTCTGGTTTTCCCTCCAGCTTCACTGCTGTCTGGCAGCAACCCAGCGCAGACTGAACATTAAGTAATTTATAAAGTATTTTCAGGCCAGAGGATACTGAGCCTGCCACTAAGGAAAAGGCTCTTCACAGTACTTTGCAAAGGAGAGTGAACTGTCCCACCAGCTGAGAATGAACCTTTTCTCTTTCTGCCAAGAAAACACAGAATTGGGGTACGTCTTGCAGCACCATCCAAAGGGGTGTGTTCCCCGGTCTGCATCTACTTACAGTCTATGATCCTCCCAGCTAAGGACTCCGCGCTGAATCCAGCAAAGACCACAGTGTGAACGGCACCAATCCTGGCGCAAGCCAGCATGGCTGCCACAGACAAGGGAGACACGGACATATAGATGGCCACCTTGTCCCCTTTCTGTATCCCATATTTCTTCAGTGTGTTGGCAAGACGGCAAGTCAGATCCAGAAGTTCCCTGCAGCACAGAAGCAACATCGTCAAGTGACAGCAAAACCTGTTTTATGCGGGGGAGGAAAAAAAGGATGAACTTGAACCGAGAGAGGCATTGCGATCACCTCTGAACCTTGTCATCTCAGCAGTATAGGGCATGCCAGCTTTTCATCTTAAAGAAGGAAGGCCTGGGGTACAGTGAGAGCCAGACTGCTCCTGCCATTGGGGAGATAAGAAAAGGGGGACAGAGAGACACTAGCGAGCGAGAGCCACAGGCACTGCCTAGAGCTGCCATCCAGATTTTAGCCATCCTTAATGCTCCTACTAGCATCCTACAAGGCTTAGTCAGAAGTTACTGAGAACCCATGTAGGATAAACACAAGATGAAATGGAAGCATTGTCCAAAGACTCCCAGCACTGTTTACCTTGGGGAAATGCTGGAAGTGCTTCACAACTAGTAAGTTGTCTTTGAATTGCAAGGGTAAACAATGCATTTGCATGCATAAGGAAGAAAAGGAGAAGTCCTGAGACATTTGTGTGAGTGGCAGATTTCACAAGATTCTCATCAAAGCCAGATCACCCACAGCCCGAATTCCTCCCTTGTCACTTCACCCTGCTGTGCTGCAGAGCACAACCAGCTCGCAGAACAGAGACAGCATAGAGAAACTTGGGAACACCAAGAACAGGAACAAAGGCTCTTTTCACAGGGCTCGCTGCTGCGACATGCTGACTTAACAGCAGAAACGTTCCTCTAAGGAACGAAAAAGCAGTTCATGGGCAAGGCATGTACACTTACTCTGATGCCTGCACAGGCGATAATGCGACTGCAGGCATGCCTGGGACCAAGATACTGTCATGAACTGAACAGTTCTGTGTGCCTGCAGTGGAAAGGCTTTGAGAAGAAGACAGACACTGCACCAGGTGAGGAGTGGTCTCATGCCAAGGAAGGAGGTGACTCACATGAGGGACAGCAGAGCACTCCTTACTGGTGCCAATCATCAGCTCAGAGAAGACTCAAGGAGTCTGCCAGAAAGGAAAATTGTCCTCTGGGTTCGCTGAGTACTGAGGCCCAGAGGGGAGAGATATCTTCTACTCCTTAGCACACTCATCTTCAACCTGTCACCTGTGAACCCTTAGGTGTCTGTAAGCTACGCCACCAGGGACTCCAAAAACTGTTAACAAACAAATTAATTTGGGGGGTCTGCATTCCATAATAAGCTGTAAAGCATGAATCTACTAATGTATCCTTATCTCCCACAACTGGCCATAGCTGTGAAAAAACAAACAAATGAACAAAACCAGTTTTCAGCCACAAATAAAATGAAATGTTGTTTCTGGTCCATCAAAAATTGTTTTGTTTCTTTATTTAAACCAGTGCAAGTTGAAACAGGCAAAGCCCAAGTGCTCCACTTTGGAAATGCTGTAACAAAACCATGGGCTAAGAATAACTTGGCAACTTACTTCTTTAGGATAAAACTCCATCTGCACTGTGAAGGCAGTAAAGCGACTCAGCCATAGAGAAAGTAGAAGACAGATACAGTGATGGCTGGAGGGATGGGATACCACTTCCCCACCATTTTTTGGAAGATAAGGAAAACGAGCCTTGAATCCCAGCCACAGCACTTTGTGTTATTTATTTTATGACTATTTCTGTAGCATCAAGTAAATACACCACTCTTGAAGCACAGGAACCCAGAGAGAGATGGCCATACATGCTCAGTGCCTGCTCTCTGGCAGTAGCTGGCAACAGTTGCCACCGCAGAGAGACCACATCCCTGTAGAAAGCAGATATGGAGTGACTTTACCCCAAACTGGATTTCCTCCTAATCCCTTACAGCCAGAGATCAGTCTAAACTCTAAAGCACAATACTGAATACCTCTTCCCAAGCGCTTCATGGCCATGCATGTTCCTGCTATCAACGTAAGTGCACAGCCTGTTAGATGTAGTATTTTGGTTACTTATACTAGGTTCGTGAACTGAGCAACTCCATGCAATAAGGAATTCCCTCTCGACACTTCTTTTTTTGTGCCTTGTCCTTAAAGGCCACATTCTCCGGTTCAGAATTCATCCAATGCTGCATTAGAGAAAAATCTCAATGTGGATACATATTAAAGAGCCAAAACAAAACTAAGCTGCTCAACCGCAGAGCACAGGAAGTGAAATAAGCCCCAGACGGGCAGTTGTGAGAAAGCAAAGTAACACCCACTTATCTGTGATGGAAAACACCCAAGTGTTTTCAGAGCTGCAGCCTCTTTCTCCCGGACAGAAATGCCAGAAGAGGTCTGGCTAGGGTGTCCTTTCTGAGCAACTCTGCGGTTTCCTTGCTTATTCAGGACTAGGTGGCCAGGATGGCAGAAGCTCTCATTTTTTTTTTTATGATTAACCCCAATTTAACATTTGCTTAATGAGAATGGGTGAACAAGCTGATAGACAATAAGGACCAAGTCTTTACCCCCAGATCTATTTGCTTTGCCTTCTCCTTTGCACTCTGAATGGCTGAGATAGGAAGACCTTGGAGGTCCCTTAGAGGTGTAGCACATGGGGGAACAGACACAAAAGCAAAGAGAAGGTGAAGCCAAGAACTCCAACAAAGAATTCCACAAATTCCCGAGCATCAAGTGTGTCTTCTGTCTCCTGTACCAGCAACTCACACTTCTCTTCCAGTTTAAGAAAGGGAGTTAACAAAAATGCTGTGTCAGGAATCCTTCCCTTGACTCCCTCACTCCTTCACACAAGTTTTGCTATCTAACAGGCAGGTAATTTGTACATGCCAGCAGGTTATACATTTCCAGTACTTAACCTAGACACATCTCAGGATGGAATAAGCACCCTGCAGTGTCGCTGCCCTGCAGAACTGGGTGGGACAGACCTAACTGAACTGAGCAGAAGGAAACTACGGCCCTTACCCTCTCCACCTGCTACTGCTGCCAAGGTTGGTGTTGTAGTCCCTCCATCACACCAGGTTAGAAGAGCCAAGAGAAATTCTGGCCTCAAGCCCAGCACTGCCCCACCCTCGTTGCCACGCTGCGCCACGTTGCACCACGTTGCCAGTGAAGGACAGAGGGTCGCCAGCAGCTCAGAGCAGATGTGTTCTGCTTCTGCAAACCACAAGAAGAGGGAGAAAGGCAAAATCCCAAGCGATGCTCTCAGTGTTGCCACCTGCCTGCACTCCAAAGGATTTCAGTGCAGCCACCCAAGCAGATGGTGCAAAGCAGGTCACTACACTCAGCAGAGGCAGGCAGGACAACCACTGGAGATGGACATAGCCGTGGGGCACACAGAGGGTCCCAGGGTGCCCGGCTCCCTGTGTGCAAGCTGGGCAGACAACAGGAGGATCTCAGCAGAGCCACTGCAGGAGAAGGAAACATGCCACAAGAAAAGGAAGCACCCAGGCCCTCTGGACAGAGACAGTCGAGAACTGCAGAGTCAGTTCATGGCGCAACGGTCTGCAGATCCTCTGCAAAAGCAGATCGTAAGAGCTGAGAGCAAATAAGAGACCAAACCAGGCAGAGAACGCCACCCCAGTGGGTAAAGTATCAGGGTAGAGCTGAGAGAAGGGGAAGCAGCAATCAGTTGGAGGCAGGAGGTGAGGCTGTTTGCACAGGAGAAAGAACAGTATGTATAATGTGCTTTTAAAACAAAGCAAGCCAGGTGGATGGTAGGCACATTAATGAACACAGGCAGGGAAGGTGAAAAGTTATGACACATAGACGAGATTCTGGACTTGCTTTCAGAAAATGTTATTTTTCAACTGAAAATGCAGATGAGTCCAACCCATTCATTGTACCCCAGGTGTGAGGGTAGATAGCTGCTGAACATGTATTTCATGTGAATTTACCCATCCCAACCCAGCACCTCCAGAACCAGAAGGAAGCACCATCTTACCCCAGTGACATGCCTGCTCACAATCCAGGTTACACTGACAGGCTTTAAACACCATGGACAAGAGCTCTGTGATGCGCCAGCTCTCCCCCTGTGCTAGCAGGAAACATGAGCAGGGAGAGGGTGGGTTGCACATAAATCCCTGCCCCCGCCACCACATTCGCAATGACCGTCTCATCGCAGAGCTGCTCTTGGGTTTGTTCTCCTGACCGGCAGCCCGCTGATTTCCATCAGCTTTGGAGCAAGCCCTTCATGTAGCCATTTAACATCACAACTTGATGGAAAAACATCTCCTTTCAGGGACAGAGCAGTCTGCTCCTGTTGTTTCCCCGCAGTCCTGTAACATGGTACTGCCATGGCAAGCAAACTGCCACTGGCTTTGTACCAAGTTTGCAAGGTTTTGGGAATGCAGCTTGTGATGCTCGCTCTGTCTGAGCTCTTCTTGACCTACCTGCAGCCTTGTTTCACCTGGTTTAGCTGTAACAGCAATTCTTCTAATTGACCACGTAACCATGACTAATTTTTTTTTTTTTATGCTTCTTTATCTTTTTGTGCCACCATCATGGGTTTACAACCCTGACATAATGAGGTAGTGTAAAGAAATACAGGCCTGGTATAATAAGAGGCCTCGAGAAGTGAAGGCACAGGACATGGCATAAAGGAGAACATGCATGGGACAACAAGGGATGGAGCACAGGCTGGCACTGGTCACCTCACACTGCAAACAATCAGTAAAAGAAATGCAGACCTGATGCTGGACAAAAGTGGTGTCAGTCATAACCAACAGGATCTCTTTCTTTCTTTTTCTGCAATAATTAGATCTTGACTAGTAATATTAGAATGTTAAGCGTTCAATTATACTAAGAATAAACTCCTGGCTCTCTGTATATAAGGTGTGCTTCCTTTTTGCCCATAAACAAGACTCTGAGTATCAACACTGCTCTGTTCTAGAGATTCACCACCCTTTATGCAAGCATCTCCTCAGCTATAACAGCATCACTTCTAAGCACAAGACATGCAAGGCTGGCCCTCCAGCAGAGCCAGCAGATCACCATTCAGGCCAGTACTTCTGTTTAATCTAACAGGCACAACACTTCTCTCCCTATCTTTGCAGCATCTCTGTCCAGAAACCACCAGACCAT